TGCTTCCTAGTCTGTCTTAAATTAATCAGGGAGTGCCAACAGAACCCGTCCACAATGGGAGACCCTTTTTGAATTTGATACATCAGTCTACTATTTTTCCCCAGAAAGAATGCCTTGTTGCCATCTTTACACATTTTTTTAGTATTCTTATCTTTCTAATAGACTTTTTTTAGCATTATATTTAAATATACCATATTTATATTCCAGAGGAAAACAATTCAAAATGACTCTGTTAACAGCAATATTTTCTGCAAATTAATGGAAAGAACAACATTTCTAGATTACATCTGAGCCAAACAGTGAACAGTTTTTCTCTATTCATAGATAACTATAGAGGATGTGCATCTCTTACATATAATGGGAAAATGGACTTTATAAGCTTGAATTAAAACAATGATTCTCAAGGGTTTGATACAGCACAGGGAGCTGGGCTCATTTCGCAGAATCTGATTCAGCACCTTTATCAGATTCCCAATAATTTACATTTCTAAGAAACTCTCTGGTGGTATAGTGCCTAACAAACAGGGCTACTAACGTAAAGGTCAGCAGTTCTAATCTATTATGTGTGTGGAGGAAGTAAGATGAGCAGTTTTCTCTGAGTCACACACAGCTTCAGAAATTTGATGGAGGGTCACTATGAGTCAGAACTAACTTGAAAGCAGAAGGTTTGGGTTTTCTTTTAAGAAGCTTTCATGGCTGAGGCTGACATTTCTGGCTTGGGAATCATACTTTGAAAAACATAGACTTAAAGCAAAAAAAAATTGGAGGAAAAACTGCTCAAACAAATTTAACTTTTATGAAGAGAAATCTATGGCAATTTTTATTCTTATTAAGGCATGGTCTTTGTAGTCAAATAGAAACCTAAAGTAAATTGGTTTATTTTTAACAATCATGAACTATAAGAACCTGAATAAAAAAATTATTTACCCTCAATGAAGCTTTTTTCTTACCTGATTACTGAGGAAGAAAATACTTAGCTATTTGGTTTTTCTTAGGGTCAAAGTAAAGTAATTTATGACAAAAATATCTAAAAGGTATTAATCTTTCATACCCAAATACTGTTAAGGTATGTTTTTAAAATAATAGCTCTACTGAGATTACATTTGCTAAGATATTATTAAAAATAAAGTGCAAACCTTTATGAGGTAAAGAATCTGGATATTACAATGTGAAAAGAGAAAACAGAAAACAGTTGTGAGCTATTTTCTTAGATCAACTGATTACATTTTTACTATATTTCATGTTTAAGAATGGTGTTAAATTATGCTATTTGGTTTTAATTAACTTTTATGATGACTATGAAACAAAGAAAAATTTAGATAAGATCTAACTGTTTTGCATGGTAAGCAAGAGTTACAATGTAATTTATCAGTGGCAAAAACCTATATAATGATTGATGAAGTGCATCATTCCTTATACACAGTCTTGGTATGTTATGTACTACTGAGCTGGAAGTAGCTCATAGTTGACCCTCCAGGGGGTTTTCAGAGACAGTAAATTGCACAGAAGGAGGCTGTTCATTCTTCTGCCTTTGAGAAACTAGTGGATTCAAACCACAAGGTTTGAGTTGGCAGTGTAACTTGTTGCCACTAAGCCATCAGACTTCCTGTACATTACCTTTTATCTATATAAAGTATCTTGCATATATTTTTAAACGGTGGTAAATGTTACAGGACCTGTAACATTTCATTCTATCATACCTGAAGAAGCTCTGAGTCATGATGGTCAATGAACAGCAACAATAATTCAACTATATAATCACAGATATGACACATTCAAATAACTTTCAGTAAAGCATTGCCTTTTATAATTCTGTCCATTTCTTTAGAACTATACAGGTTATCACAAGTCTATACAAAACTATTCACAAATACACTTTTGGAAAAACTGAAGAGGCTAGAATGTTAAAACACTGTTTCAAATGCTTTAGGTAGTTTTTAGAAGGAGTCAGTCCTTGGGAAAAGACATCATGCTAGAAAGGTGGGGGATCTGAGAAAGAGAGGGAGACCCTCAAAGTATGGATTCCCCAGTGACTGTAACAATGTACTTGACATATCAGAGATGGTAAGGATGAGGCAGGATAGAGTAAAGGTCTGATCTGTGGTTTACAGAGTCCTTATGAGTCACGGCTGACTCAATGGTATATAACAACAATAACAAAGTTAAAGATGAAGCCATTTAATTCTCATACAGTTAATGAGATATTTTTGTCCATTTAATAGAAACTTTGTGAAATACTGATACACTTGAGCAAATGGGGCAAGCTCATAAGCTTTACCCATTCACTGAATGAAGTCAAGCACAGAAGATGACACATGCATGATTCCATTTATATCAAATGATAAAGCTAAAAATATAGTGGAAGAGGATTTCTTGGATATAAATGAGTTAACATACTTGACTGTTAACTACAAGGCTGAAAGTTTGAGCACACACAAAGAAGTCTCAAAAGAAAGATTTGACGTTCTAGTTGAAAAAAATCGGCTTTAAGGTGCAGTTCCTTTTTGACACAGGTGGGGTTGTCAAGAGGCTGAACTGACTTCATGACAACTGACTAGGTGGATAAAAATCCACAGCTACTGAGTAGATTCTGAATTCCATGACCTTGCAGAACAGACTGTAACTGTCCATCAGATTTCTGACGCTGTAAATCAGACTGCCTCACCTTTCTCTCCTGGAGTGGCTGGTGTGTTTAAACTGCTTCCCTTATTGTGGCAGAAAGTAGACAGGGGTTGCCTACGTTTGGGGATCATGTCATGTCTTGTACCATCGAGTTGGAACTGACACATACCCTTCCCTATCCTGTGCCATCCTCTCTGACACACCTATTTATGAAGTCACCATGTCAATCCATCTCACTGAGGATCTTCCTTTCCTTTTCCGACCTTTCCAAGCATGATGTACTTTCTAAAGGAATAGACTCACTAGCAACGTGTCCTAAGTATAGGAGATGAAACTTCATCATCTTTGCCTCCAGGAAGAAACACACTGGCTGCACTTTCCCCAAGACATAACTGCTTGCTCCTCTGGAAGTTTGTGGGATGGTCAGCACTCTTCTCCAGTACTGGACAATGAATAAGGATGACAACAGAAGAACTGATGCTTTTAAGTTGTAGCTCTGGTGTGCTTGGGGATAGGGTTTGGGAATACACTGCTAAGTGTCATAGAAAAACTTTTTAGGGTAACAGAATGTTTCTGTATTTTAATTGTGTCCAGTTATCCAACTGGCACACAATTTCCAAAGTGTATCAAACAGCACGCTGAAAACTTATGAATTATATTGCATATAAATTAACGCTTCAGTGAAGATGGGAAAATCAATTTCTATAGGAAGTAGATAAAAACGTTCCTTCCAAAGTTAAATGTCATATATAAATTGTTACATAAATATTTGGAAACCCAACTGAGTCTAAGGTGACAAGCAATAATTCTGCAACCTAACCGTGATATTAAAAATGCCTGCATATCCAAAGCAACACAGGAGGAAGCACGTCCTGCAGGGCTTTCTGAAGCAGCTTGATATACGAACGTGCCAAACTTCAGAGCACAGATGTGGCTGGTAATGGCAAGGCTACAGGATGACAGTGGGAGTTCAACTAATAGACTTTAAATGTTTTTCCATTTGCCTCTTGATTTTAAATAAATAACTGGTTGCCATACATTCCAGTTCAACCTGACCCTCTGTCAGGTCTCCAAGGCGGCAAATCTTTATGGGCGCGCTCTGTAACAGGGAGTTGTGCTGCTATCTCAAACGCTGTGTATTTCTGATGGTTTCAATCCACTCATGGCTCTGAAGGATAGGCAATCTCCTCCTGTATAATTTATAGCTTCAAAACCCCAAAGGGAGTTCAGTTATGGGTCTGTTCAGATTTGATGGTAAACATTCAATTCAACTGGAAATCTTTACGGGAGTAGGAGATCGGCCATTTTTTTAGCAAGGGGCAGATTCAAACTGCCAACCTTTCAGCAAGCCCCCTGACATGTTATGTACCACCCTACTAGGGTTCCTTTTAAAATAAAGAAGACATGAAATAGCCAAGGACAAGTAAAGTATTTGTCTTACATATTATTGTTTTTAATTTAATATTTGCAAATAGGACTACTGGAAAAATGGATGGGTTAACCTTTGTGTACATTACATTGAATTCTTCCTAGTTATTTCTAAAGGAGTGTGGATAGGGAATACATTCTTCTTATGAGGTGGTATGGTTGAAATGACTGTTTTCTGTGAGGACAAAATTTATAGTACTCAAATAATCAATCATGCGGGACACAGGATGAATATCTGGCTTCTTAACACTTTCACTGGGCTTCATCTTAATATTGATTTTTAGAAATCAGAAGAAATATAAGATTAGAAATAAGTTTGTGAGGGAAAACTGCACACCAGTTTAAGGGAAAAAAGTAAGTAAGATTTTCTCTTGGATATTGATAAATACATTTCTTAGCACAAAGTTTTGTTTATGCCTGGGGATTCTGATTTCAGACTGTTAAAAAGAGTTGTCTCTGCAAGAAATAATTTAGAAGTAAAGTGTATCAGTATGATAGCAGCCTAAGAGGCTCTTTTCCCCCTCTCTAAAACAGATTTATTATATCAAAATATGACATGTATTTATATGTGTCCCTTTTGACTTTTTTTGCAAAATCCTGTCAGCTACTCTCTAAACACTTGATTAACTTTGCTTTTAAAAATATTAACTACAACACTTTTCAATTCAAATCATTGGGAGGGGGGGAAGCCCATTTCTCATAGAATTTCCTGCTGAATATTTAAACAGCATGACATCTATTTTCAAGCTTTCTCTTAATTAAAAAAATAATACAGTTAGAAAATACATAAATACCTTATTTACAGAGCTAAACAAAGTCAGAATATAATATTTATTATTTGTTCAATGACATTTCTTGGAAGCATAAAACCTTGTTGTGACAAGAACTTATGGTCTAATCATTAGGATTTTTATACTAGTTAAATAATCATAACATAAACAAGCTCTCACCAGTTTTCTGGGGTCCTATTACCAAGAATTTTGGTAAGCGATCACAGGTTTTTTCTTTAGACCAAATATCTCTGTGGCGTTTGTCATCACAAGGATTCTAAATGGGAGAAGAATATAGAGTTATTAGGGTTTTTAAAAAAAATTTGCAGTCTATGTGTTTGTGTTCACTTTCAACTTAAAAGATAACCCAGAAAACAAGTCCACAGGACTCCTTTTAAAAAGAAAAGCCTTGAGAGGACATCAAAACAGCTTTCACATCATTCCTTTCTACGCTAAAGTTGAGAGTCTACTGAGGAGTTGAGGGACTGAAGGCGTTTTTACTACAGGTAAACAGCCTCATACTATTGAGGTTTTAGTCTATTTTTCAGCTGCTAGTAGCTATATGTCTTATTTTTTTTTCTTTTTTAATTAGTGAACGTTCTTGTCAAAGACTGTGTTATATGCTAACCTAAAAGAAGATACACTCTCAGTATTCAATAAATAAATGAAATATAAAGTACCAGATTTTTATTCAATGTTAATTTTAAGCTTTCCTGCTGTGCTTCAAAGGGATAAGAATCTGGCCATAAAAATACTAGTTAAAGAGATAGCTGATAGTGGATTCCTTTCAGCTGCCTTCCAAGGTCAGTAAATGTATATCTAAGAATGTAACATTAGAGGCTGTGATGTTTAAAAGTTCTGAATTTTAGCAAAAGGGCAAAATGAGGGTGAATTACTCCCTTAGGGTTTCAGCTTTTGATCTACAGTACTTAAAACTGACACACACAGTGTGCAAAATCTATCTGAAAACACCCTTTAATTCTAACTGCATAGCACATATTATGTAGGCCAAGTGTGAAGAATGACAGTATTTTTTTATTCTTATTGTCAGAAGTAGCCAAAAGGTACCACTTTCTATCTCGACTCAATTAATACCAGAGTTTTGTGTAGTTAAATGAACAGATGCTGGAAATTACGTGAGGGTATTCTTTTTGGCTACTTTCCTGGAAAAAAAAATGGTTGCAAACCTATAACCTGAAATAATCATGATTTCAATTTAAAATAAGATGTTAAATTAGGAGGAAAATTGCATCTTTTCAGAAGTTAATACTGGTGGTGTTTTGAAGTGGGTAAAATTAAAAGATGCTTGGTATAAAGACTGAAAATAACACGCTGTCCAGTCACTTGACTTTACTAAAACTACTAAAAATGTAGTTTTTTCTTTTGCTGAGTTGATTTGGTTTTTTATTGGAAGAAATGAATTTATAGTTTAGAGATGAACTGAAGGGGGAATTCAGAATTTACTACCACATCAATTTGTTGAATGACTCAGTTCAACTTTAGATTCTCCATTGTTTTACCATCAACTCCATCAATGACCCTCTAGTAGCATTTACACCTGATTAACAATACAACTCTGGAGCCAAACAACCTGGAATTAATGCCCATATTATTATATACTAGCTGTGTGTCCTTTTCAAGTGTTTTGATGCCACTGCCTCATTGGCAGAATGAGAATAATAACTGTATCTGCCATACAGGGTGGTTGTAAGGATTAAATTAATTAGCAAATATTTTTAATTGTCAAGAATTTTACTCTCCCGAAATCATGGAATGGGAACTTAGGTTCAAAGTGTGTTTCTGAATTGTTTTGACACAAAAATCTATCCTTTCAAATCTGGGGCAATTATTATAGGATACTTTGAATATGCCATATCATACTGAAAATTATATTTTAAGAACCTAGCTTGTTTGATTTTTCAAACCATGAAATACTTCCTCCATTTTCAAATGAACTCCACCTGGAACTTCTGAATGCTTTCTTCATTCTCCTGCTCACATGGCTCAAAAGGCAGACATCAGTTCTGAACTTCCCACCCTAATGCATTCAGGAGTGAGAGAGGTGTGCATGGTCTCAGGCTTGCCCGCTGGTTGCTTGCCTAACACATACCCTGCTAATTGCCTCCTGCTCCCTCAGATTATTACAGTCTCCCAATTGAGCCTTAACTCCTAACTACAATCATTATATCCATTAAATCCCTCACTGAGCTTTCAAAATTTTATAATTTTTAATGGCCATGGGATCAGAGAATCTGGCTCTAGATGTAGCAAAAATACAAATACTGTAATTCAATAAAAAGAAGTTTCTCAAATCTACTAAAATTCTCCAAAATTTTACCTCCAAAAATAATCTTCACTTATTTGACAATGGCTTATCTCACAGAACCACAAGATACATTCAGAGGATTGTTGTTGTTGTTGATTGCCGTCGAGCACGACTCATAGGCACCCCATGAACAAAAGGCCTGAAGCCTTTCTATAACTATTGACATTTCTCAAAGTTCATAGATTTTCCATAGGCATGTTGATTAGGATGTGGATGCCACTCCTGCTTCCAAAGTAAGTAATTACACCAGTTAAGCTATTCTTGTTGTTATAAGCTGTGGCGTCAGAACTGACTCATAGCTGACCCTCCAGCAAGTTTTCAGGAGCTATAAATCACACTGACGAAGATTACTCATGTTGATCCTGCTTAGTAATTATACCAACGATTAATAAAAGGACTGATCCAGTCTTACCTGCCAGAGAGGGTCTTTCTGCTCAGGGAAGAGCTCAAAATACTTTTGAGCCAGTTCCAGCGGAGGCAGAGTCTGAAGACGCAGATTAGTCCAGCTCTGGACGAAATTGGCCAGGTTAACAAATGTGTACAAGCCAAGCCGATCATTTCCATAGTTGGACAAATGAGTCATGAAAATGCTGATCTGAAAATGGCAAAGATGAATAGGTGCGTAAACATAAATTGTCTCAACAGAAGGGGGCAATGCAATCACAGGCTAGATTGTTGTTTTTTTTTTAAGTATTATTCTAGACAGGCTTCAATTCATGAAGGGCTTTTGAATTCTTCAAATTCATATTTGAATTCTTCACATTCTTTAAATTCATATTTAAAATGATGCCATTATGCATACTGTTGTTGTTGCTATGTGCTATTGAGTTGCTTGCGATTCATAGCGACCCTATGTACAACAGCCCTAAACTCTGCTCTGTCCTGTGCCAATCGCACTGTCTCTGACACTGCCATCCCCATTACCCGTCACGGAATCAATCCACCTCATAGAGGGTCCTCCCCTCCTACGCCGTCCCTGCACCCTCCCAAGCATGATGTCCCTCTCCAAGGGCACACTAGAGTATATATTATAGCAAGACATGAGTATCATTTTTCTGAAAACGTTCATGTATTTTACAACAGAAATGAACCTAACATCTATTATCTGCTATATGTGAAGCTTACCAGGCTTCTCATTAAAAAGATCTGCAGTTAGAATCTACCAGCCCATTCTGAAATATGAGCAGTCTTCTCCTGTAAGTATTTATAGTCTGAAAATTTAAATGAGGGTCACTGTAAATTGGAATTCACTCCATGGCCTTGGACAGTATAATTAGACTGGAGCAGAATAATAAACATATATACTACTAAGGGCCTCCCCAAAGTGCTAAAGAGGAATGATGTCAGTTTAGGGACTAAGGTGAACCTGATCCAGACCATGGTCTTTGCAATTACTTGCTATACATAAGAGAGCTGGACAATGATTAAGAATGACAAGAAGAATCAATGTCTTTGAGATGTGGTACTGGAGAAGAGTATTGAATATACCATGGACTACAAAGAAGATAAGCCTGTGTTGGAGAGTGTGAAACCAAGTTTTTCCTTGGAGGCTAAGATTCTGAAGCTCTGTCGCACATACTTTGGGTACGTAGCTGGAGGGACCAGTTTTTGGAGAAAGACATCATGCTTGGGAGGGTGAAGGGAACAACACAGGAGAGAAGAACTCCTATGAGGATTGATACAGTAAATGGGATAATGGTGGTAGGTGTGTCGGAGTCAGTGAGACTGTCTCAGGACAGGGCAGAGTTCAGAGCTATTCACTATGAGGTACAGATGACTTGATGGCACACAACAGTGACAATAACATTCTGAAAATGTTTCCCTGTATTTGTTGAATTTGGCTTAGTGGTAAGAAGCTGTGCTACAATCCCCAGAGCACCTGGTTTGAATCCACCAGCTGCTCTCAAGAGAAGGATGGCAATCACCTCCTGTGAAATTTATTGCCTTTGAAAACTGCATGAGGGTCAGCTATGTGTTGGTTCCAACTTGATGAGATTCAACAACTATTTGCAATACATACATACATACATACATAAGTTTGTGTATGTGTATACAGATATATAGATATGTATATATATATATGTGTGTGTGTGTATAAATGTGAGTATGGGGATACACACACACACACACACACACACACACACACACACACACACATACTGCGGCTCCTGTGTGGTACAAATGGTTAAATACACTTGGGTGATAATCGAATGGCTGGCATTTCACATTTACTCAAAGGTGACTTGGAAGAAAGACCCCGAAGTCTACTTCCAGAAAACCAGTCACTGGGGACTTCTTGGACACTGACATCCAGGGGCTGCTGTAAGTTAGAACCAACACCATAGCAAACAGTCCTCTATTCCCTCTATCTTATATCTTCCTATGTATACTGCATTTAAACAGATGAGGGAGAGAACAATTTAAAAGTGATATATGATAGGGTATTATATTTATCACAAGAGTCGAGGATTAAGGTTGCATAGTGGAGTGTACTTGGGGCAGTGTGGGGTGTGTGTGATGGGATTGTATACCAATGAAAGAATTTTTCTTCTACTTTTCAAAGAGAGGAGTGAACTGGGGGGAGGGGAGGACTGGGAAGGAAGAAAAGTGCAACGATGAATGAATGTAAATCCAAAATCTCTGTAAATATTCATTAAAATTAATAAAATAAAAAAATAGTCTTCAAAGCTTGGGGCAGATAAAATGAACTCTTTTTATAGAAGCAGCTGACCAAGATTCAATTAATGCGTTGAAAAAAGAAACTACTGCAAATGTGAAGGAACTTTTATTAGTAAAATAAATTTTAGTTTTGTAGATATGAAAAAAATTGTTCTAGGATGGACTCTGGCCATTTTTGAAACAATTGGTTTAAGTGGCTACCAATGGTTTTTGTTGGTTAGATACTTACAAATAGAAAAAGAACTCCTTGATATGAGATTTCAAAGACAAAAAACTCTGTAGCATTTATGCTACTATAAATGGAATCATAATAATTCATGTGGTAATAGAACTTTCCTAAAATATATACCATCATGGGAATGAATAGTAATAACTGTTATTACAATCATCATATTAATGAATACAAAAGATTAATTCATTAGAAAGCTGAAAGAATTACTAAATACAATTCAATGAAGTAGAGAGGTAAAGGTAAAGAGAAAATATTATAGTAAGATTTGATACAGAAAAAGTGAATAAGAATGAATCAGAAAAATGATAGGCATGAATTTTTTTTTTTTAAAAACACACACACACAGTAATAGTCTATAGCCTATGGATCAAATTCTGCAAGCCTTTCTTTTTTTGGAATGAATGTACTTTATTATTAAAGTTTATTTTATAATGGGATTGCTTACAAATATTCATTTTTATAATTTCTACATTTTATATATTTCTGCAGGGTTTTCTGATGAAAAGCTTTAATTGTGATCAAGAATATTTAACTGTGTTTTTAATTACTTTGAATGTTTATTAAATCTTCAACTTTCACAAAGAAAATAACTTAAGAGTGACTTTAAGGAGCTACCAGCAGAATCACATTGGCAATATTATGATAAACGGAGGAAAGACTGAAGTTGTCAATGATTTCATTTTACTTCGATTCACAATAAACACCACAATCGAGCACTGGGATAACCTGCTGTCAAAGACCTCTCCAAAGTACTAAAGATCAGTTTAAATACTAAGGAGGCTTTGACCCAAGCTATGGTATTTCCAATTGCTTTGTACAATGAATAAGGAAGACTGAAGAATCAATTCCTTTGAATTTTGATGTTGGCAAAGAGTACTGAACATTTGAAAATACTGACATTGACAGCCGAATAACAAATCTATCATGTAGGGAGTGCAACCAGAGTGCTCCTTAAGGGCAAAGATGGTGAAACTTCATCTCATATTCTTAGATCATGTTCTGTGGAGAGGGCCAGTGCTCGGAAAGAGACATCATTCTGGGTAAGGTTAGAAGGTCAATGAAAGAAAGGAAAACTCTCAACTAAGGATTGACACAGTAACTTCAGCGTTGGGCTTGAACCTGGCAGAGACCATAAGGATGGTGCACAATAGGCAAGATTCTGAAACACTGTTCACAGGATTGCTATGAGTCATGGTTGAAGTGATAGCACAAAGAAGTAACACCACAAGCAGGATGATACTGTTAGTGAATTTGATCAGTGAGATTAACATTTTGCTTTCTGTTGCAAAAGAATGAGACTTATAAAATTTAACCTTCTGGTTTATGTTCTATAGTTGCTTCAGTTTTGTAACTTAATTCTTGTTTAAAACTTCACCTTCTTTTCTCTTCCAAAGTATCTCAAGACAGTCTGCGATTGAGAAACTTATGAAAATCATGATTAAATTTGAAAGGTATTGTAGAACTTTCTGTTAGAAGCAGTCTTCACTAATTTATTTTATACACTACATTCTTTTCAATGTAGCAGAATATTCCAAGATGCCTTTTTATTTACAAAAACTTTAACACAATGTAAAACATATATAAATATAAACATGTATTTTTTTCTTAACCTAGATAGCCTCTGGATCAACTTTTTTGCTTTGTTTTTATGAAAAATTAAGAAATGTGTATGTCTACATTTAATTTTGATACCTGGAAAGAAACTTAGAGATACTGGGTGACTTTGTAATACTAACACATTTGACCTTCCTCTAAATTCTCTTAAACTTTGAAAAACATTTTATTCTGTGACAATCAAAGCAGAGTGCTACTTTTCTAACCGCTTCACTATAGAAGGTTAAAAAAAAGCCACTTTCTCTGAGAGAGACGGGCAATTCAAATTGAGTCATGAGTGAGTTAATAACATTGCTTTTGCTGAAATCCAACCTGATTTGCAAGGATGTGATAATACTTACAAGGGGCTGAACTTTTGTCAAAGAAAAGCTACTTAGCCTGCAGACATTAAACCTTTCCCAGGTTTTCAATTCTAATTTTCTATGTCCATTTTAGCATAATGCAAAGAGCACTAAAAGTAAAAGGGCTATTTCAAAGTTATTTTTTACTTCTTTCCTAGGGCCTGTCACCCTATGCCACTTTAAACTCAAGACTCAAGACTGAGATTTTGTTTTGTGCTTTTAAAGAAATATAAGGGAATATCATTCTCTATAACATAAAATATTTTAATTTCTTTTAATTTTTCCCCCCCACAAATCACAAGTCTCCCTTGACATGGACTATTCGTTATCTTTTGTTTAATATGTAACCTCCTCAAGTTCTCTTGGTTGTTTTTAAGTTATGAAACTATGCATACCAAGAAAGAGGACTAGTGAGAAAAAAATAAGGATATATTGTGCAATTAGCAATTTTTTTCCTCGTCCTGTTCTGACCTATGACATTTATAATGTCACTTTATCTCTTGGCAATTTCTCACCTGACAATTCCTTCATGGCACAAAAGGAAACAAAAGAAAAGCCTGAAGAAAAGGTTATCAACTTAGAAAAATACATACTAGTTTTTAACTAAAGGTATGTTTGCAATTTAAAAATCAGAACTGAGGGTGTAAAAAAAAGTCAGAAAGTATTAAAATAAATTATCTAATATTTGGTAGTTCCAATAAGAAAAGAAATGCAGGTACAACTGCATCT